TAAAGTAAACTTGCATATCAAAATATCAAAGATAAAGGTCAAAGTTTTTCTTACAGTCATGATAACACTTCAAGTTGAAGGGGAGGTAATCAGCATCAGGAAACTGAGTCCAGAAAAACCTGCCTTCTGACATTAAATTCATTAAGTATATACGTTTGATTTACTGTTATTTTTCAAGTACCATGAATAAAACCCTCAGAAATACTTTAACTGCTCTGCATTTTTACAATTGTTCAGAATAAGAAAAATAAGCTCTTAATATTACTAAAATATTTGAAGCAACACCTCTTCTGTATAAAAAAAGAAAAAAGCTAAAAATTTCCAGCCTGCTATAATCTCCAATAAATTACAAATTATACGTACAAGCGGCATTTTTTACAGTTAATCCAAAAAGCCATGTTGATGGGAGATTCATAATTATTGAACATTACACAGTTGTAGTATACATACAGCCTCTGACAACAATTATTATATGGCTTCATTGCATTTTTCAAATGCATAACTGACAGTACCAATTCGTCCAACCAAAAGAAGCCTGAAGTGTATTAATATTTCAAAAGAAAGACTACAGAAGAATGGAAAAGTGATTACTTTCCAATGGTCTGAGAATAGCCACCAGTCCTTATATTTATTATTTATCAGTTCCTTTCAGCTATGTGGCAAAAGCTGAACGTAAAAGAATGAATTCCAGTCTTATACTGATGGAAAAAACTTGATCTTTACCTTTTTGAAGATGATTCCGGAGTAGATCCAAATCTTGGCGCAGTCCTAGATGAAGCCATATTAAGGTACCGGCGGTCACAACAGATGTCGACACCAGTATAAAGAGACACAACGGTAAGCAGGCAGCCAATGGACTGCCTCTGTTACCAATACGAAATATATCAGACAAAAAAAAAGTAAGCATACACACAATTCTTGGCATTATTCTAAGTGATGAAATTTTATGTACGCCGATTTTCTTTATTTATACACGTATAATACCAAATTTCTGGAATATTTGGTTTTTACTTGTTTATGGCATATGTACTGAACATAACTTTAGATTCAAAGACTCCTTCTCTATTAATTATTTCTTTTAAAAACAGTTAAGTATAACAAATTAGACATCAGGAGTTTCCTACTTCTACCTAACATTTTTAAAACGAAAGAAGTACATATACAATTAAATGGTATAATATGGTGCTTACCGATTTTTTTTAAGCAACTGCAAATTATCTTCTTTTACCAAAACTTCAAATCCACTAACTTTTCCTCATTTATTGAATCCCAATAATATCTTGGCATTGTTTCACACAAAAAATCCAGTATTTAAAAAAATAAAAACGATAGCAGATACATTTTTCGACTGACTCAACAACAACAACAAAAAAATACTACTCCCCCCTCTTCACTAAATGAAACTAAACCAACTTCGTTGTGAACTTAAGGCTTTTGTTTGTTTGTTGCTAAACATAAAGCTGCACAATGGGCTACCTGTGATATGCCCACCACAGATATCAAAATCCGATTTTTACAGTTACAAGCCTTCACACATACCATTGAGTCACTGGATGGGGGAGGGGGCAGTTTCAGGCTTCTTTTTAAAATATGTTTTTCTCTGTTGCCCACGTGTCGTTATTTATATGTGCTAAGCCTTTAGTTAAAAAATTTGTTCGATTTTTGCATGCAATGAGATTTAGTCCTAGCTTCGGTTAGTTAATTTATTGAATTTTCGCGCAAAGCTACTTGAGGGTTATCTTCGCTAGCCGTATTTTAATATTGAAGTGATCGACTAGAGGAGGCAGATAGTTAACACCACCCACCGACAACTCTTGGGGTACTCTAATCGAATAGTGCGATTGACTGTTAGATCATAACGCCCACATGGTTGGAATGGCATGTTCGACGACGGTTTTTGATATCGTGACCCGCAGATTGCGAGCACTGTTTTTCACACACACTCTTCATAACGTAATATCCAAACTGATTACCGAAATACTCCAAGTGTTACAACTAAAACAAGTCTCAACTTCAAACACTTCTCAAAACAAAACATGCAAATTACCTCCCGAAATGCTCAAAATGTTACAGCTACAACTCCAACGTTAATAAATTCTTAGTGAAAAATTAAAACCAGTAACAGGTAAATATCACTTTCACACATTCTTAATAACGATGTAACGAAATTAACATAGAAACTCCAAACTCGTTGTAAATATCACTTTCACACAATCTTAATAATGAGGTAAAAAAATTAACATAGAAACTCCAAACTCGTAGTAAATATCACTTTCACACAATCTCAATAATGAGGTAACGAAATTAACATAGAAACTCCAAACTCGTAGTAAATATCACTTTCACACAATCTTAATAATGAGGTAACAAAATTAACATAGAAACTCCAAACTCGTAGTAAATATCACTTTCACACAATCTTAATAATGAGGTAACAAAATTAACATAGAA